TATGCATATATAGTATAATGTAATGATAAAAGCATATAAAGAAGCATTAAAAATGATTAGATAGAAAAGACCGTGACGTTAAACGTGCACTGCTTACGCTCAGCTTACTCGATACTCATACGACCCAATCTTAGCGATGCTCTGCGTTCCGTCTAAAGGAATCTGAGCGCACGGAAATATTTATAGAATTCGTAAAGTGTGAGGGGCAAGCACACAAAAGTCGAAAAAACATGTGAGAATAATCCCACCTACAAGATATATGTATCAAGTTCTTTGAACGTCAAAGGATTATGATCTATAAAGAAGAAGATGAAAAATAAGATTAACCCGCTTATCGGAGCAAAACAGGTCACGGAATTTGTTTATTTGGTTTTAATCACTTAATTTATCTTTTATATATGTTAATTTATCTATCTTCTTTAATTATTCGTTATATACAGTGTATATAACACAGTGTTTAATGCAACAATTGAAGCTTGGAAGTTAACGTTTCTTCGCATCTTAAAACAGTATCGGCAGGACACTCTGTTAGAGGGAGAGCAGAAACCTTGAAATATATTCGTAACATTTATTCCAATTTATTAACATCTTGTCCGTGTGTGCGTGTGTGTGCATGTGTGTATATATATATGTTATGTGTAAATGTATGTCTGTAAGCGTGCACGTTGTCATTGTTTCCATCGTCTATCCTTCATCATTCTTTGACGCTGCGGATAACTTATCGTATAATATTGCCCAATAAACGCTCCATTCGATATCGATCGATCGATCAAACGCGCGCAGGTAGATTCTCGATCGATCTCGTGTAAAAAAGAACCATCGACGTCGAACAGAACGTTTGGATTAAGGGTTTTGTTTTGACGACCGACAGAACGGGGCTTGTCATGTGTATATTGCAGCGCTGACAGTACAAGCTGGATAATTTCTGTACGCAGGATCAAAAATCACGGATACTTAGCCGGATATTCGGGTACGAATCCAATAATAACCGAGTACTCGGACACTAAACCGGTAATGATCAGGTACTAAGCCGATAATAACCGAATACCTGAGTACTAACTAGTGCTGTCAATTTCAGCTACCCACGTTTTCCGTGTATTACTCGAAAATGTTAAGAGCTTCTACTCAGTCTACTCAGAAATGGTAGCTTCCAAAATAGCACAGAGAATTTAAAAAGAATTCAGTCGTATGTCACCAATTCTGAGTTCATTTTCAGATTCAAAAGAATTCTTCAATTCAATGAAAAGAATTCTTTTCGCATCTAAAAATGAACTCAGAATTGGTGACATACGACTGAATTCTTTATAAATTCTCTGTGCTATCTGGGTTTATTTTGCGTCTGTACACTTTCTGCACATAAACAACCTTAAATTTGCGACGAAATTTAATTTAATGAATAAACGAAATAATTCGACATTTCCAATTTATTGTCTTTCATATATTACTCGAAAATGTTAAGAGCTTCATGTTTATTCGGAAATAATAGCTTCCCAGATAGCACAGAGAATTCAAAACAAATTCAGTCGTATGTCACCAATTCTGAGTTTATTTTCAGATGCAAAAAGAATTCTTCAAAGTTCAGTTCAATGAAAAGAATTCTTTTTGCATCTAAAAATGAACTCAGAATTGATGACATACGATTGAATTCTTTTTGAATTCTCTGTGCTATCTAAGTTTATTTTGCGTCTGTACACCTTCTGCATGAATAACCTTAAATTTGCGACGAAATTTAATTTAATGAATAAACAAAATAATTCGACATTTCCAATTTATTGTCTTTCGTATATTATTCGAAAATGTTAAGAGCTTCATGTTTATTCGGAAATGATAGCTTCCTAGATAGCACAGAGAATTCAAAACAAATTCAGTCATATGTCACCAATTCTGAGTTCATTTTCAGATGCAAAAAGAATTCTTCAAAGTTCAGTTCAATGAAAAGAATTATTTTTGCATGTAAAAATGAACTCAGAATTGATGACATACGATTGAATTCTTTTTGAATTCTCTGTGTTATCTAAGTTTATTTTGCGTCTGTACACCTTCTGCACATGAATAACCTTAAATTTGCGACGAAATTTAATTTAATGAATAAACAAAATAATTCGACATTTCCAATTTATTGATTTTTTAACAATAACGAACGAATTCATTGCGTATTCGCAACTATTTATTATCTGGTTGCCCCGAGGGTAATATCCGCCAGTACCCGTGAGTATTAGGATTATATTGACAGCACTAACTCGATAATAATCGGGTGCCTATGACGAAAAATTGCAGGTAATAACCGAATAGTCACCATCTGCTATCTGTTATCAATCAACTGATTAGATATCAGCTGACTTTATCGCTTGTTTTTCTGAGTTACTGTACATTAACCAAAGTGCTCGTGTATTTGAAGATGCTGACGCCACTAATGTATTAGCACTGTTTATCAGGAGCTAGTTCGCTGACTTCACCCGCTCTCCTAATTGCTTTTCCTAAACGCCTCGATCGAGAAGTGATGCTCTGACCTAATACCAGCAGGATAACGGAAGTAACGCTGATGAAAGTAACGCAAAATTAGAAGAATCAAGGCTGTCACCGCTAACAAACTATGTCGCGCAGTGTCGTCGCTGTCCCGTCGTGTCGGTCGACGGAAAATCTCCGTATCGATTTTGAGGCCGTTGTTTCTCTGTACATCGCTGCTCATTACGCTTTGTCTCGCGTCTGATCTCGCACACCCGCCAAATCCGTGCCCGTCCTCACAATTAATACGGCTTTTATAATGGAATTATTTACAAAATGGAACACTTACAACGACTGCTTTTTGTTTAGTTTATCGTGAGCTAGTTACCGAACCGTCGGTTTTCACTTCTTCGCTACGATAACGCAATTAACGGATATCTGCTTATGTATAATACGCGCATTCTCAACACTAGCCGACACGTTCGCACGGACTCTCACATCACCGAATGCCAGAAATGCGGCTTCTGAGGGCCCCCTTTGAGCTCTGGATTAGTGATACAACTGAAACTTCTCGCTTTGAATGGCGCGCGCGTATTCGAAACCGCGCGCTCGCGTTTCACGAACCGTAAAAGCCTAAAGCGTTCGGAAGCGATGATGTTCCGTGCAAAGTAAACATTAGTGTCCACGCTTTTTCAGATGCCACTATGGTGATATTCGCTACGTCGAGTCGCATCTTTTATAGTATAGGAAATATAACAAAGAAATGGGAATATATATTTTCGCTTAGCTTTAAAAATAATTATCTGCAGTGTGTATAAAAATGTCTATTATTCAGTTAATGCATCAGAAATGCGGATTGTCGTCAAATTACATACATAAAGACAGAGATAGTGAATTATGAAAAGGGAATATAATATCTCATACACTAAGACCTCGAAAGAATTGACAAAGTGCCAGCTTATATTTTCCGTGTTTCTTTTTTTTTCATTATATTGAAATTATGTCAATCGTATATATATATATATATATATATATATATATATATATTAAAACTATTTGGTACCAAAGAAGTTTATAGGTATTGGGCTTTAATACTCCTAGTTTCATTATTTGCATCTAGTTCAAAATATTCCTTTTTGCAAAAATTATGAAAGGGAGATACTGATAAAAAGTTTCCGTCAGTTTGATACGCCTAAGAGTGTAATTAGTAAATTCATTGAGTAAATTCATAGAGAAAGAGAGAGAAAAATGTAATTATTTTGAAAATATATCTGACAAAGATTGTGAAAGCTTTTAATCGAAGAAACTTACACATACATATCCACTTTTGGCACAGTAAATGCACTTTGTCACAGACTTGTTCAAGGAAAGAAGGAAGAGAAACACGATGTATAAGAAGACGATGTATAAGAAGGAGAATGCGATGTTTCGAGATGATTAATACACGTTAAGAGGAGATTACAGAGTCATCTATAGCGGAAATGCTTAGCGAGTCTAGGCGCTGTTTGTGAGTTCCTTACTCTTAAAATATCTATATAATGTTGAAGAGTAGAAAAATTATAAAAGTACGAAGGTCTTTCTATAATTGTCAACGCGAGAGAAGTTCCGTGCGCCCGCTTCACTGCGATTTTTCGTTTGTCATGTTTTGTTTTCTACCTGACCTTAGAAAATATCTTCAACATAGCGTAAAATACTGTCGTCTCTCTTTTATTGAACAAACAAATCGCTGTTTTGGATTGTAAACTGTCGCTTATTATATAAGTACTAAAACGCGACGGAATTCTTCGAGAGGACCGTCGCTTATTAATTACGTGAGTAGCGAGGCTGCTGATTTTTCTTTTGCTTTTTTCCTCCAGATATATTTCAAGCTTTAAGAAAACACTGTAACAATATAAGAATCAAATGCAACAAGAAATTCAACGACGATTTCTGCACAATGCACGCGATACGATAACAATAACAATGCAATAACTTTGTCCCAATTAGGGTAAGGGTTGTGAAGCGGTTTGCCGAAATAATAATTCGCAACACATGTGCAATACAATCTTCTTCTGTTAATCATTATCCCGTAGATCTTGCGATCGTAATCTTGCGAAAAGAACCATTGAATTGGACAGCAGAAACAGAACCAATTAGACAACAACCGAGTCAAAGCGGAGCGAAGAAATATGTAATTGAATGGACCGAGCAAGAAGAAGAAGAAGGAGAAAAGAGAAGAAAAAGTAGAAGAAGGAAATACGCGATCTCAACTGCAGCGCGGTCAAGATCCAGACGATGTCGCGCGGAAACACTCGTAAAGAAGGGCCAGAATGAGGAAGGAAGAAGGGATGAAAGGGAAAAGTCGATGAAGATGGTGAAGAGAGAAAGAGAGAGAGAGAGAGAGGGAGAGAGAGAAAATGTGTGTGTATATTTCTCTAAACGACGATGGAAGAAGTGCGGCAGAAAGGCACCGAGAGAAGGTTTCACGTAGTTGTACGAACGTTAGACGCTAAAATCAATCGACACGAACTTGTGTACAGTTTCTAAAAAGTCTCGCATCCCGCCTAAAGTCGCGCTAAGCTACTTGGCACGCACAATCGCACGCACAGTCGCGCACTCTCACGCACTCAGTCGTATATCATTCCTGATTCTTCCTAGATTTCTCTCTTTTTTTTTTTCTCTTTTTGTTTTTCTTTTTTTTTACTTCGACTAGACACTGTTTGATTGTTACATTTGGCAATTCGGCAGCACTCACGAGTTTTCAAGCTCCTTGTCTTGCGCGACTTCGGGGCGACCTGCTGTACGCCGTGCACCGCTGAGAACTTCGTTCTTGCCCGACGACTTCGGCGGTCGCTGTGAGAACGTGTGGAATGAGAAGTACAGAGTAATGTGCAGAGTTACCCGTGATCTATTTGCTAGTTGCACGTCCGCGCGGTATTCCCAAGAGATTCTCTCGAGAGAAGAAACTCGGAATAGACTTCTTCCCGATTGTCTTCAACGCCTCATCCGGGACAGAGAGAGACACAACGATGACACGCGGCTACACGGACTCGAGTGCATTTGAGTAGCAGTGGCAAGAACTCGGTCGGAACGAATTCGTCAGCGTGTCGGCGTAAAGTAAGCGCACCTTCCGCGTTAATAATAATTCTGCTTCAATCTTTCAGCTGCGTCCCGAAACCTCGCCCGCCCCGTTCCGACCACCTCCCTTTTTTCACAACGTTATCGTAATTTCCCAGCAAAATGTGACTTTGGTACATGTATATAACAATAATTCAATAAGGCATACGATATCCAATTAAGGACTTTCCCTCTATTTATCATAGAACTTTTCCCAGACGTGCATGTATCTCTGGAAGTTTTGACATCTCTCGCTCTCCCTTTTCCGCCTCCCTCCCCCACGCTGTTTCTCTCTCTTCGAAACTCCGTAATGTCTGAGGTTCGCAAAAGTTGACGTTTTCGCCTAATGGCCGAGAGTAACGGATAGCCGTGTATAAATTACTAGAGGGAATTACACGACGGGTCTCTTAGTCATATATAGTCGCTCGACTACATTCTCTTTCTCTCTTTCTCTCTCTCTCTCTCTCTCTCTCTTTCTCTTTCTAACTTCTGTCGTTCTCTTCTCTTTATTTCTTGCAGCTTGTTGAATTCATGCCTCTGGCGTCGGATCGGGGTGGCGAATTTTGGAACGCAGCCAGTGTAATATAAAGTCTCCTCTTCGCGTAGAGACGACGTTAGAGTCTCGCCCTCCCCTCCCCCCTCCCCCTCCTCCACCCTATCAATCGGGGAAGCGAGTCGTACACGACGCTCAACGTAATACGCTTCGTAATACGATGTGTATGTACACCTATCTAAAAGTACTGTCGCGACACTGTAAGTGGCGCCTATTACGTTATATCTTTTTACCCCGATATAATAATTTCCTCCTCGCTCGTCTCTTATTCGTCTACTATACAAACTTCTGACTAGAACAATAGGTAGATAGTCCTCTCGCGCGCTCGTCTCGCTCGTATGTATATGTTTTACTGTATTTTTTTCAGATACTTTTTTTTGTGTTTTACTCATTTGCCGTCACGTGCCGGGGAGGGGCCCGCCGGCAGTGATGTTAGCTTACGCGGAAAAGTCTCCAGATGCAGAGAGAGGTATGGCTCGTCTGGTTGAACTACGTTTTATTTTTTTACCGAAAATAGACGGCGCATATAAATTGCCCCCGTCAACGATAAATATGTCTCACCTACTATATAACTCTCTTTTTTTTTTTTTTGTTCTTTACACCGACGCTCTAACGTTTTGATAAATTCGGTTTTCTACACCCAGCGAGCTTCTCGTCAGCTAATATCACTGAGGTGACGGATATACAAAGAGCCGAGTCTCTCGGCTGCTGCCTTTGTCTCTCCTCTTAGAATCGACCGATTCTATACGGTTTGTATTCTCGAGAATTTCGCATTTTATTTTTCAAGGGTTAATGGAGCGGGCCTGATTGCGGATTGTCGCTGCTTTTTGCGCCGAATGACGAGTTCGATCGTTGGTTCCAGTCCGTAGTGGGGGATTTGTCGAACAACAGCGTGCCACTTTATCGGAGCGACCGATAAAATAGAACGTTTTGCGAAGATACGGCTGGTGCTCGGGGAAACTTTCGGAAACTTCAGTTCGCCGTGGCCGTTTACGGTAATCACCCTATTACCGGTTCCCCTCCTTCGAGCACGGCGTTTATCTATCGTACGCAAGAGGGTTATAGACACGTACACGTACACCCAAAACCTTACAAGAGCTTACAAGATTACACGAATAGAAATACGTTTTATTTACTGGCACTGGCGGGTAACGTTGGACCGGCGGCGAAAACCGGCGGTGGTGTCCCGCCGGAGAGAAATCGCCTCGGAGGAAACCAGTACAACGGCTATCCGAAATGGGAGTGCTGCCGTTTCCTCTCCTTTCCGCTCCTGAGTCTCCCAGGCCTCCGTTTTGTTTTTCCTCACTCCTCCGTTCGCTCGTCCCGTCGACAATCACATGTTACACTGACATCGTATATAGTCAAGTATTGCGCGCGTATTATTGTTTCCACGAGAAGCATCACGATCAGCCCGATGAGCCTGATTATCGTCACGCCTGTATAAAAATAATTCCCTATTTCCCCGCGACGTCGTTTGTCGTCGTCGTCGTCGTCGTCGCCGTTGTCGTCGTCGTCGTCGCCATCATCGTAGGGTCCGCCGCCTCTCGTCGCGGTTTCCCCGACGACTGTCTCCCGAGCTGCGAGTTTCACGGTTTCTCACCCTGGTCGATTGGAGCAAGTATCCGTCTCGGATTTCTTTTGTGCGATTATAGATCACCGTGCGTCCTCGTCCCAAATTCGGCAGTCCCGCCGCGAAATACCGCGGGTCTTGCGGATGCCAATTGGGTTGTCCACGAATGTCCAAACGAGGAAGTGCATTTGCTTGCTTTCGTTGTTAATGGATCACGAATATAATCGAGCGTGCGCCGTGCGTCGTAAACGACGTGCATTGTCGAAAGGAGCGACGTCGCACCGAGGAGAGACTCGCTAACAGATGCGGCTGTGACGAAGGGAACAACGAAGCCGGCCAATTTTCTTCGATCAAATGAGGTCGCGGTGGCGCGGCTTGCGGATGAGAAGCAATTCTCGCAGTGCTGCGCAGCCTGCACGCGTTAGGGATGCTGGTAGCTAAGATCCAAAGTATAATTAGGTGAAATCCGAGATAAACTAGGCCGGCTGCATTGTTCGCGCATTTATTTCGCTAGGATAGGCAGACGTCTAGAGTGTATGACGGTGAGTGAGGGCTCAGGTAAACTAAACTTAAGTCACCGCCAGCCTCATCACGCGAAACGCCGGAACGGTTCGGAACCTTTGAACCGATGGGTAATCCGACCCGAGTTCCGTACTCGCCACAGCGTGTATCACCAAGTCGACGCGAAACGCTTCGATCTGGACTGCTTTAAGATGAGTTTGCTCCGGTTCCGGGACGGGCGTACTGTCGTAATATCGGAAATCTCCGATATTTCTTCGCGTCCGTGCAAAAATGCTTCCCGTCGCTCGCTTCTCCCACGTCTGCCGCTTTTCGCGTTTCCGTTCCCGTAGGTTTCCTTCCTCCCTCCTTGGCTACATCAGCCTCGACAGCTCTCATCTTTTACGCAATAATTCCGACATCTCTGTCATTTATCCAGATTTGACAGTGTTCGCAGGTACAATTTGGTTCATTTGTAATTTGGTGACCGCGAAATTTAGATGTTTCAATGTCTCGACGACGATTCTGTACAAAGTTCGTTGAGACCGTTCAAATTACGATCGAGGTCCGCTGCTCGATTCAACGGATGAATCCTTGCGGCGAGTCTACGCGACGTCATTTAACATCGATGAAATCCAAGGAGATTATTATTTTTTAGAGACACAACGAGGCAGTTTGGGAGTCTTACCAAGCGCTGAGGCTCGATTTCTCAGGCAAATGATTTCCTCGGATGTCGACACTCCGTATTTAACTCGGTGTCTGAGTAAAAACGGATCGGACATGCTCGCGACGAAAGACATCTTAAAAGAGCGTTTCCTGGGACCAAATTGGCGGTATCGATGGCAATGGCGCTGGTGGTCTGTGTCTCAATTCGATCGGCGGTGAACACGGCGGGGATCCCACGCTACTTTGACTGCTACTGGTCGTCGTCGAAACAGGCTGCGACCTATTATTAAAAGCTCATTCATTAATCGAGCCTGTCCACGATGTTTAGTTGACAAAAATGATTAATCGAGTGAATCCCAGTTGCATATATTCCAATCGCGGACAACGAACCAATCAAATTAGCCTGACCCAACCTAATATTACCTAGCCGAATTCAATCTAATCTAACCTAAATCTAAGCTTAAACTGATCCAACTTAACCTAAACTAACCAACTAACTAAGGCACCAATTTTAATTAGCTCGTGTCCGACTATTACGTATGGAATTGGCACCAGTGAGCTCTGCAATATACTAGAGTAGACCATGTTTACAACAGTCAATAGATAAGTTCCGTTTATCTTAGTTAGTGGGAACTTTCTCTTAAACCGAGCAGACAGTCGATTATCAGACAAAGACATATATAGCGTAGAGAGTCTATTGGCATCCTGCACACAGGATGCGGAAACGCTTACCACGCGGCAAGAAGCGACCAATCAATGCGCCGTTTTTCCATAAGAGCTGGAAGTTTACTGACTACCGTGTCGCTTTTTGCGGCAAGCATTTCCGCGTTCTGTGTGCAGGAGCCATATCTCGCTTTAACTTTGCTTGAACCTAATCAAACCCTTAATTTGGTAGCCATCAGCGTTTATCCTTTTCTACTGTTTCTGTGTCCTGACTCTTTGAAGGTACATTCCAGTATAATGCAGAGTTCACTGATTGGGACAGTCCCGATTAAACGACCAATGACTATCCGTTGATCAGAAATCACGAGAACCTGTACTGTTAGCTCGTCTTTTGGACATATCATCGGTAGCTTACCTAGAAGTTTCAACGGCAGCGCTGATGGTCAAGCAAGCTTGACAGGGTTTGCTACCGGCTCGTCGTCTGGGCACACAGCCCGCGCAACCATCCCATCTTTCGAGGGTCCGCTTTTTCTTAGAAGGCACCCGCAAAAATCGCCGACAATTCGGCTCGGGCGCGTCCGAGTCCGTGGAGAAGCCCGAGACCTCGTCCTCCGTGTCGACGCACTGCTCCTCCTCTTCCTCGTTTTTCAGGAACACGGAGTCAGAGCCGAGAGATCTAGAATCCGGATCGGGAGGATCTACGCTGCCCATCGACGCCAACGGCGCTCTTCTACCCGACGACGATGCCGCCATAAGGTTGCCGACCGCAGCGCCGTAAAGACCGGCCTCGCTGCCGCACGGCGATAAATCCGGAGTTGGCTGTATTACCTGATCATAGCGAAAGTTTTCGATGAGTTTCTAACTAACTTCACAGGTTGGTGTGAAAGGACGAATATTGAATATTCGGATTAAAATCCATGGAGTGTTTAAGGTCGTAACAACGTTGTTTAGTACTAACTACGGTCAAGTTTACTGTCAAATTTAATGTCTGTAACATGGACGGGCTAGACTATAGATTAATTACATTCAGCAAGGTTATTACAGTGGTACAAAATAATACAATTATACAGAGACAGAAGGAGAGATCGGTGTGCAATTTATTCCTCGACATCCGCAAACGATTTTAGGAAATATTGCGATACTTCCGGAATGAGAGAAAGTCTACTCAAGTGTCGTGACTGCGAGAGAGTGTCGGGTCTACCTGGATATCGATAGGGTAATATAAATCCCATGGCTCATCGTAAGCGTGACGCGGAAAGGATGGAGGAGGCGGAAGGCACGGCATCGCCATGGCTGAACCCCTTCGTTCCAGATAACTACTTCCAGTACTGCTACAAGTAACCGAGCTACATCTTCTGTGATCGTCGGGGGGAGTCAGTCTCGGTTGCCTGATTGGCGGTGCCAGCAGAGCGTCGTACCCACCTCCGACTGAGGCGAAGCGAGGTGGCACCACAGGTGAATGAGACTGGTTCATCTGATGTAAACATCATTTCTATCTACTACAAGTGCTTGGTAAAGGGAGCAATCGGACGTGATTCTCATTTACTTCCGTTGTGATTCGGAGTGAGTGAGTGAGTGTCGATATTGTACTTCGTGACTCTTTCTTTTTCGAGACATTGGAGAAGGAACATCAGAGTTCAAAACGTGATTGTAAACACAAGGTTGAAAAACACATCCGACATATTCGGGACTGCTGTTTACCTCGACGCACAACGACCTTCTTGGACCACGACCCGGCCTGGATGGTAATCTGGCGATCGCTTCAAGAGCAGCGGCGAGTGCCTGTTCTTCGGCTTCAGCTTCCGCGACCGCCGCAGCTGCCGCCGCAGTCAGCGCCGGATCTTCCAGTTGCTTGCTCGCTTTGCATCTAGTGTGAATGCATAAACCGTATTCTGACTCTATCTTCGTGGTAACCAATGAATAGCAAGTGTTCGATAGGAAGCGTATTTCGTACGTTACACCTGATCTCTCTCAATTACCTGCTCTTGTACACCACTAGCAACACCATCAAGCTGAAAAAGCCGCCGAGGGTCGCGGCGATCCGTACCCCCGTCATCACGTCGTACGTTTTGTAGAATTCGATTTTGAGCTGCTCGCGCTCACTCAGAGTCGGCGTTGTATCTGGCAGGAACGTCGTCGGGTCTGTCGTCGTCGTCCCTGTCACGTTGCTGCCGACACTCCCCATTCCTATGGATCAAACAGACTCGCTCGTTATACACGCGACAGAGGAATGCAGTGCGTTCGCGTGCGTTTGTGTGAACCGAATGTTGGTATTTCGCAAAATATACTCGGAATGGGTGCGAGAGATTTCCCAAAATAAAGAAACACGTCGTTAAAAGAAGCAAAAAGTCGGCACGAAGTAGAGAGGATGTGTAAGATAAAAGGAAAAGAAGAAAGGGAAGAAGAAAGGTCGGAAGGGAAGAAAGGGAAAAACTGCAACACTAAGCAACAATGAAGAGAGAAGTCAAAAGCGTAAGGGCGGATACGCCTCAAGTTCTCGAGCTGGGTCCGCTGGTATTGCGGTCGTGGAGATGCTTGAAGGTGCACGATTTTCCTGAACCTATCTTCAATGGCTAAGAGCAATACAGCGCGCAATATCTAAGCAGATTTATCAAATTCAAAATTCGTTTTGGAACGTTCGCGCTATCATTCTCAAGTGACTTGAGGTGTAGACTGAACTTGTCGAATTGAGTCCCATCAAAGTGCAGGGGAATATTTTCCAGAAAGAAATTAATGTCCCCGTTCTAGAGTATAATTCACTTCTCTCTGTTGAGACGCAAGAAGTCCATTAGTTTGCAAAACAATTCACGAAATGTGGTTCTACAACGTCATTACGGAGGTTGGATTTTTAAAACCGGCCAGGATTCCTTTCAGCGAGAACAGGTACGATTATTCCTTAATGCAATTGCTTCCAATTTTCACGATCGTCGAGTCCCGGTGCGAGCAAGAGCTCTTATACAAAGAGGGTCGTAAAAGAGAAATTTAACGACACAAGAGTGTGGCTGAAAGCTCGATAACTTCAATATTTCAGATAGAGCGCGGAGAAATATCTTACGCCGAAAGGATTTCACTTTGGCGAAATTTAACAAGCCTCTGCCCTGAAGAGGCTTCGGAAAATGATTCGATAAGATACCGTCGTTACTGAAATCCCCTCTCGCCACCGCCCTTATCTTTCATCCCTCCTTCTCCATTGATTCAACGTCCTTAATCACTCGGGTTATGTTAGGTCAGGTCAGACGACAACCTGTGGATGCTCCACGTTCGAAGAGATTGTTCCATGTGCTCTCACCAGCCGTCCTTATACCCGTAAAATTAACGACGCGGTAAACCCCCGGGGGGTTTCGACTTACAGAATTCTCACCACGTAGCGTAGCAGCTATTTAGTATTTGTCGCGCAAGACGTTCGGAGACGCCAGTTTTACACAACGATATGAAACTACAAGGAAAACTAATGTCGTTTCCGTTAAAATTTATTTTTTTTTACACTAACGCATTCTCTCCTCGCGTTGATATCGTATTGCCCGCTTTCGTCCAACGAATAAGGTTACTTTTTATGCAACTTGCTTTCTCTCTCCTTCATAATACTGCAGCGTATCAGTTTCAATTTTTGGTCGAATACCTCGGATATCCATTCGATTATTTAAATCTTTCAAGTATTACCTAAGCACCGGATATTTGAAGAGTTCAAATACCCAGAAAATATCTGCGAGCTTGAGCCCCGAAAGTATCCACGTGTTTGGCTAATCTTTATTAATTCAATACTTTACTTACCCGGGAAAAAATGTTCAGAAGATATGGATTTTATCAAGATTTGATCAGATATAATCAAATATAACGTTATATATTCAATTATATACGATTATTCGATATAACAATTATTCAGATATAACGTTATATATTCAATTATATATGATTATATGTGGACAGAATATGGATCTGAATCATATGTAACGTTATATCTGATTATATCTGATCAGATCTTGATAAAATCCATATCTGGCTTTTATCTGAACTTTTTTTTCCGGATAGGATACTTAAAAATAATCCACGCATACTGATTAGTAGTGGAGCAGTAGAACGTTAGGATATCGGCATTGCGTCTATCTGATACCTTTATCGCGCGCGAATAGGCGGTTTACGTGTAGCGATTGAGCACATCGACTTGCATGCGTCCTAACGATCGCCACACAGCGCTCTGTGTATAAGGTTGCCGATGAAATTTTGAGGTATATTACCGCGGCAGAGAGATATCCTGCTGCGCGCATGTGCTATTACGCGGTATTAAATTTGCGTACAATGCAACCTGAGAGTCTGCCGGAGCAGACCGTGGGGATAATATTAGACGGGCGCAGTTTGTAATCAAACGGCTGCATTCCGTCGAAGTCAAACATACAAATCGGTCTCTTTCCTGCTTGCGCCCGTTCGCAAAGAAAGTAGGCTAATCCCGAGCATTCTCTCGTAATTCCCCGCGCTCCGATTTTCCGCGTGAAGCGCGACAGCCGAGGAAAATCAAACTCGCGGGTGTTCTCCATTTAAGTCTCGAATTTAAATGAAACTTTGCGGAAGCGGAGAGTGTCGGGATGTGTGAAAACATTTCGCGATGTTCTTGCTGTTGAAAGGGCCGCACGCGTCGACCAATTCGACGAGCGCTCATAGACGCATACAGGGTGTCTCACACTCTCCCCCGGGCATTTTGTGAGGACGTAGAATGGGTTGATGTGAACATAAAAGTCCTATACCGTTTTGCGAAATTCGTAATAATTATACAGGCCCACAATTTAAAAAAAGTTGTCTGTGCTGGAGGTCTGACTAGGTACTATACGTATTTTGGGCTGCTGAATCCAAATCCGGTGTCAGATTTGCTCTCTTGAGTTTCCCGGAAAATCGAGGAAATCGTGAAAAGGAGCAGATATCCAGATTTTTACGGAGACATATATTCAAGAAAAAGTCTAGAGTGACGAATAACCCCATAACCCCACAATCAACGTTGAAAATACATTATGTACTTCAACATGAAAAACGAATCATTTTATACATCCCCTTACGAGACAGTTGTCATCGTCTCCAACATCCTCTGAAGCAGCAGGATTTATCTGATCGACGACCATATATTGTAAAATTAATATTTCGAATAGAAAAAAGATTCCATCTCGTGGACAATAACATGAATGTGACCATGATAAGGCATGCACAGATTAGATTTTCTAATCTATGCGATGTTAAAGGATTGATGGGTGAACTAAAACCGAATATGTATGATGGTATATGGGTTATTGGGTTATTGGATTGTTCTAGTCAGATGTTGAAGTACATAATGTATTTTCAACGTTGGTTATAGGGTTATTCGTCATTCTAGAATTTTCCTTGAATACATGTCTCCGTAAAAACCTGAATATCTGCTCCTTTTCGCGATTTCCTCGACTGTCCGGGAAACTCAAGGATGATGGAGCAAATCTGACACCGGATTTGGATTCAGCAGCCCAAAATACGTATAGTACACCTAGTCAGACCTCCAGCACAGACAACTTTTTTTAAATTGTGGGCCGGTGTTATCGAGATATTAATTGTAGAAAACTTGTAAATGATCATGCAGAATATGGTAAATGAGTTGTAGTACAACAACTGCCGTCGTGTACTTATACTTTAGGTCAAATTGAACAAAAAAGTCCTCTACCATTTTCCAAATAATCATATAGATTTTTCATTATTAATTAAAGAAGATTATTGCATGATTTTGCGTGATAACGCACTCATCTTCTTTAATTAATAATTAAAAATCTATGTGATTATT